CAAACTCTAAGAGATCAATGATCATAACAATCCAGACTGCACTCCTTTCCTCACACTCTCCATCTTCCCCGAACTGAGACAACATGAAGATAAACATTTAAAAATCAACATTCTGGATTAATTAATCATAATGATCAGTAACAGATCAGAATTAATTGTACTGTAACAAACAGAAGTGAATTACCTCGTCTTCGCCCATAACTCCTCGCTGCATGCAAACAAAGGACAAATTGTAAAATGTCAAATAACTGTATCATGCCCACATACTAAAATATTTAAGATACAAAGAACTATGTGGGTAAGCAGTAAGCAAAAATCTGCATTGATACTTGGTACTGATAATTGTAGATGAGTATGCATTAAACCGAAGTCTCACTTAAATACCATACCATTTTACTACAAAATTTATGTTAGTACCAATTGTAAAAAACACTCTTTCAAGTATTTCAACCTGTCTTTAAACTTGATCTTAACTTCATGTTAATTAGGGATGAATAATGAATGAGAACTTTGCAATTCATCCTCAAAGTGACTTGTATCTTACATAAGTGTCTAAATAACACACAGAGTACTGAAATTGTAGAAAGGAAAATATTACTTTAAAAAGCATGTAGCAAGTGTTAAATTAATCACAGAAACATCCTGGTCCATGGAACAGTTTGTACAGTCCTTTGCAGTGACAATGCAAATGCTGTAAGCCGTGACCTTCCTTTTTCATGAAAAGACCTAGCAGAAAATTAACCGCAAGGTTTTGTTTGAAACAAAAGACGCCTTGTGGTAGCAAATGAAATCAGGGCACAAGTCACAAGAAATAGCATTGTATCAAAAACACTGTACAAAGGCAAAGCAACAATTTCTGACAGACTGCAAGTAAATCCAAGATTTTCCTAACTTTTGAGTTTTGCAAGATTCTTAAAGAGATCATACTTATAGCTACAGTTCAGAAGACCATACTGACTGCTTCTTTGCCTGAAGGCTAGGAAATTAAAAACAGACAGATTACTAATATAGAAACTATTAAGCTGTGTATAACTTCTTAGTTAAATTTCCACAAAGTATTTTCTATTCCTATTTCACAGCCTTAGTATCTGAGAAAAATTACTTTAATCATTATGCATTGTAGTTAAGTATCCAAATGGATAATGTTACTATAAACCACAGTGTTACAGCAACATTTGTAAACAGACTGCTGTGTCTTGGCATTACTGTTTTGATTTTACTAGGCATCTATACATACATCTCTCCTAAAAAGCAACCGTTGTTCTGGGCCACTGAAATATACACAGTCTCGAAATCAGTGATTCATAACTGTCATTCATTGTTCCATTCTAACATTATGAAGTACTTATATCCTAGTACCTCCTACTTGATCAAAGGTCTTCAAAAATTTTAGTAGGTATAATGATTTTTTTCCTTTATTATCTTGATCCCTTCCTTCTAGAAATTCAGTAGACTGCTTATGGAATTCTGAAAATCTTTCTTGTTTTTCCTCCCTTAGAACAGTTATTTTCACACAACAGTCATCATCTTTCCATCCAGCTTGCACTGAACTCTGAGATTTATTCTCTCTCACTTGAAATAATTATTATTGATGAGAACAGTTTTTCAGATCCTCCAACTTTCTACCAGTAAGCTAAAATAGAAAAAACTTTCTGAAAGAGGCCTGGGTATCTAACCAAGTAGGAATATCTTAATTCGGATTTCTGACGCCCATCTGAATCCGTAGATCTAAATCCACACAACATAGTGTATTCCTCTGTGTCATCAGTTCTCTCACGAGGTGCTGCTGCATGGGGAGACTAATGCTGAGCTTCAAACTTGTTTCCCCTCTGAAGCCAGGCACTCAAGACACACAGTTCTATGTTAGTGTTGCAGCATGTACAAATCTTCTCTGACTCCCGGCCAAAGTGACTCCCACATAGCATTAGCAGTAGCGTCACTAAGCCTTTGTCTTACTCCCATATGCCTTTTTTTTTTAATTCCATCCACAAATAAAACGAGAGTAACCAGGGAAAATTCATGTGCATCACATCCACAGCAATGTCTGCAGTGCCATGTTCTTTTCTCAAAATGCATACTAATCTACACCTTTTGGCACAAGACTCATCATACTGTTTTTCTTCTCTTCTGCCCCTTTCTGCCCACCAAACCAGCTCAGCTGTTTTCTTACATTTTTATAGTTAAGATAAGCTGATATGTAGAGAAGTATTTTGTTACAGAACACCTGAAGTGTTTTTCTTTGTTCATTCAAAAAGAAGCAATGGTAATTTTGAGGAGAAACACAAAAGGGTTATTAAAACGATAAGAAAACTCCAAACAACGCAATTCAACTTAAAAGAGTAGATGCTGCAGTGTTTTATATACATGGAAATTGCAACAGTGTACCAAAGTTATCTGTGTATTCCCTGCAAAACAATGAAATCAGAGAAAACGGGAGAAAAACTGTACTTGATGTTGCCACATCATTTACTTTACTTGCATGGCAAACCTTCTATAAAATTTATCTGTCTTGCCCATTTAGATTGCAAGCTAGTCTGGACAGGGATTTTCTGCAACTTCACATCTAGAAAAATACAGTATTTCTGTATTTAAATAACTTGAACAACGTTTTACACCTTACAGAGCATGCACTCTTACAGAGCATGGGGTCTGCAAAATATACATATGATATAAATTAAATTATCAGTTTAGCTATAGAAATAGTTTATAAATATGTATTTAACATATGCACAACCGGTGCATATGTTTACAGATAAAATAATTGCCAGGAAGACAGCCCTTTTGGAGAAGGCCAGACACTGCAGGCAAATAACTGATTTACAACAACAGAAAAGGAGAGATTAAACTTCTTTCCTTAACTTGTCCAAAGAATAAGTCATACGGAACTTATTTATCTTTTAGCATAAAAAGTTGGATATTTTAATTAGTGAATAACCTGGAAAAATTTCAAAGAAGTGAGAAAGCACAAGAGACAGTTTTATTCTAGAAAATATAAATTAGGCAAGACCTGCAAGAAGTATAATGATGTCCAATACAAAATGAAATCCAGTAACACCAGAACCTTTCAAAATGAAGAGTGCTGTATGTACAACAACATTCCCTGGTAGCTAAAACCTTTTGTTTGTATATCCCTGAAGTTGCATACCAGTGCAGCCTAAACCTGTCAGAAAAATTAATATCCCCCCTTTCTGCAATGTAAATCAGCTCAGAGACAGTAATATGATACAAAAGTAAATAAGTTTTTTGTGCACTTATCTAACATTGAGACAATATAAATGAACATTATGTGAGCAATGCTATCACAAAGATAGCAAATGTATCGTTTTATTTTACTCAGACACATATTTCAAATATACACCACAGCTCAAATATACACATATTTAAATAACTCAAGTGAACGACTGAGCTGAATTAAAAATATGTTGTATAACAGGAAAAACTACTAGCAAACTTCCTATAAAGATAACTCTGAAATTTATGATAGAAAGATAAAATGCTATTTATTGCTAACAGTCCTGACAGTGTTCAATTGGTGACAGGGATGTAATGAAGCCTTTTCATTAATACTTGTCATTTAAAGAAATCCATAAACAATTATAGCAATAATTTCCCAAGAGTCTAGACTAAAGGAGGTAGGTGCCTAATTCCCATTTCATTATTTTGGATTTAAGTTCTATCTAGATTTCTTTAGAAGTAACACCTTCATATTTTAAGTCTGAAAGACATCATTATGGCCATTCAGGTCTGGTATGCCTAAAAGACTACAGCAACTCATTTAGCAATTCCTGTATAACAAGTTTATTAATTTCTGTTTGAAGTAAAACAGCTTTTTTTCTTAGAAGCACAACCATCTACAGTATCTCTAAGAGGTCTAAACTAAGCAAATGGTGAATTATGTTTCCATAGCCATGAAAAAAATTCAATGCATTAAAACTGTAAAACCTGTAATGGGAGAAAACACCCTACACCCCAGTAAATTGGACTCTTGCATTATTATTTCTTCAGAAAGGTTCTCTCTAAGCTGACAAGATGTACTCAGGTAAACCCATTCTTAAGTATCTTTTTTTGATTTTTGAGAGATAGTCATTAAAAATGCATTCCTTTTTTTACAGCTTAAGCCGAAAGAGAGATATAATTATAATATATATAATTTATTAAAACACATAAATCAGATTTTCTTTGGTTCATTTCATTAATTTAAATAATGAAAACTCTAAATATTAATATTAGCAACAGTTCAGTAAGTACACTTCAAATGAGTTGGAAAAGATCCATCATTTAAGAAGAGGAAAAACTACCTAAAAATAAATTTTATCTAGAAGTGCTTAGTCTTAAAAGGGCTAAGGAATTTCAGCCTGGCTCATGTCAGAACCTTACTGGGATCCAGAGATACCAGTTCACTAAAATCAATTCAACCAAAATCCAGTGAGAGTCATGATCTAGTGTTATGTGTTAGTGCACACAGAGATGGGCCCATGATCCTTAAATATATCTGTGCTTTGCTTTCATGAAGGTCTGGTATTCCTGTCCTCCTTGTAGCTATTACAGTACTTACTGAAAAAGTAAAGGACAAATGTGAGTCTTTGGATTACCAAATCTCCTTTTCCCTGTTCTCCCTCCAAGGCACCAGGTACAGGGATAGAGGGAAATGTCAATTTGAACCCACTTCAGAAGAGAAGGAAGCCAAAGACTACAAGTTCATTGACAAGTGTTCAAGCTGTAATTCTCATTACTGCACATTTGGAGGAAGTCCCTCAATTCCTGCTAAGACAGAATGGTTGTGCAGAGTCTGAGCAGCTGGGGCTTCCCAGAAGCTGTTCTCAGTGCTGCTGTTCTCGAGCTGTAAAGGAGCTGCAGTTCAGACACTTCAACCTGAAGGAGCTCTGAACCACGTACGTGATTGCACTGGCCTGCATTGATGGCTACATCAGACTCCAGCTACATGGTAGAGAGTTTAGGTGTCTAAACCAAGGTTCTGAATTAAATTCCAAATGGCACATATAAAAATTAGGTATGACAGTACCTTTTAGATACCCAAATTGCTATTTTTATCTCATCTGCTGAAGGCTGAAAATAATACTACAGCTTTTAAAGAGAGCAGCAGTCACCCTGAGTCCTACCTTTCAAAGTACAATAGAAACCACACCAGTATTAAAAGCAAGATATTCTTCAGTGCATATTCTAGCTCTGTGGTAAGATTTTAGGGTAGACTGGTACCACTGAGATGCATTTTTCCACTGTTCATGATAATAACAACCCCCTTTTTTCCTAGATATTCCACAGGGTAACAATGTGCTTTTTCAGCTTGCAAAACTCTAAAAAGAGAAGCTCATCATTCTAAGTATTAATAAAATGAATTAAAATTATATTAGTTTCTTACATCCATTGTACTGAAATATTTCAGTTTCCCTTAATACCTTCCCATCTAACACTTCATTATAAACCAGCAGATAATGACAGTTGCACACATATTGCCTGAACAAGCCAGTTTGCAGAAAAAGTCTTAAAGCTGCAGTTAAATACAGAAAGTTAAATTTTGTAAATGTTGTAATATAAAGCACATTGATATTCAGGGTAGATGAATCAGGATTATGGCCTATGTGGGCTAAACACTGATCTTATTTCAGTAGTGAAGTAGCTATTTTTTCTTTTCAGGATATTCCATTATCTTAAGTTAACTATTCAATAGCAAAGGACTTACTTCAAATGTCAATTGTGCACTATTTTTCTTTAGTGGGTATAAAGTTAAACCTGAATTTCCTTAAAATTTAAAACATTTACTTGGTGTTACACAAGGGAAAATAGATTTTTCTTTTTTTTTTTTTTTTTTACATTTTATATCCATTTGAACAAGTGTAAATGACTATGCAGAAGGGTTAAGGCAATTTACATAGAGGGGTTTTTTTTCTTTGTTTTAATCTCAAACCTAAAGAAGTATTCTGACTGCATTTTTTAATACTGAGATCTTTACCTCACTATTGTCTAGACCCATGAAGTCAATGACAAAAGTGTACTTCCTTTGTGTACAACAGTTTCCATGTTTTCTAAGCTAGAGAAGCTGTGGCACTACAGCTCTAATTTTTCCCAGTGCAGAAAACATTTGTGTGCAAAACCCCTGATTTATTATTGACTTAGATGGATTACCAAGCTCTGCTTCCTTCTTTAGGCTTGAACAAAGGCTAAAGTTCATGCCTTCACTGAGTAGCAGATGTTCATGAAGTTTGACCTACTGTGAGAAGAACGTGAACGTGAACTCTAACTTCAGCATATTTCACAGTTAGACACGTGCTTGACGAAGCCACTTCCAAAAACCCCAACAAAAATAAAATGTTATTTCACAGGAGTCTAATACAAAGTGTCTTGTTCACTCTTTATTTACCCAAGACAGAAAAAAACCACACGTTTCTGGTCTTCTTATTTTTCTAATTCCCGTTTCAGAAAAATAGATTTCTAACAGCTCTTCAGGGAATGTATCACTGGTTTGCTTGACAACAAAAAAAGAATAGTGCATCATTACGAGCATTTCAGATTTCCAATAAGCTAGATATAATGAAAGGTTGCTGCAAGATTAGCTCTTGCCATTCAACTCTGAAAAACGGCAACAGTCCCACCAGTGTTGAAGACTAGAGGCAAGTAATTCAATAACAGAATATAATAGTATAATTTTATACCAACATGTCAGATTTAAGCTAAGCTACAGATAATTAGAAACTGTTATAAGATTAGCACTTACCATTTAACATCAGAAGATTGTCAGTCCCCGGATGCGGATAACTCAAGCGACCTTAAAAGAAAACAAAAATCAAAGGACACAACAAATACAGAGGTTTTCACTATTATGCTAGAAAAAATAATGAAAAAAATCACAGCTTAGAATTGAGATCTAAACACTATTTCCAGTTTGCCTAAGGGAAATAAAGAGCTAATATTTAACTCCAAGCACATTAACCAACAATACCCTTGACCCAAGTTAAAGCTGACAAGAACAGACTTCTTAACCTTAATTCTCTGGTCATAAGATCTGCAGTGTGCTTTGGGATCAGCTCCAATAGGATAAAGCCACTTTTTGTTTCATGACACCCAGAAATAGTGTTGACTGCTTTAGTCTCCTCTTTCACAGTGACTGTGAATAACTGTACTATGCACATTGCTTAACAGAGTAGCATTTCTACACTTTAGTGGTTCTCCACTGAATCAATTTCAGAAAAATCATGTTAATAGCAATTAAGGCCTTAAAATTTTATTAACTGTTTTATGACTGCATCTTGGTGTATTTTGTATAACTCTCATGTGTAATATTTTTCAGTAAATCTAGCAAAATTAGATTTAAAAAACCTTGTTTATCTACAGAGTCAAAAAAAAAAATTAAAGAATATGATAGATAACATTTCCAGCATTTTAAACTGAATAAAAATTACATGAAAATCTTATATCCTGACATCAGAATTTTTCAACAACTGCATTTTACTACATTGGTGGCATGCTGTACCTCAGTAGTTAAATGAATGGTTTAAAATGCACAGCTGAGATGTCTGTTCACTACAAATTCCTTTTTATTAAAGGAGACTTTCTGTTTACAGGAAGTAGCGAACATACCAGTAGTGCACACTGACCTAGAGAGACATTTACAATAGCTGCTGTGTTTGGAAGAACTGTGTTTTAATGTGCAAAAAACTACATTGCCATCTATCTCGCTATTCAAACATACTTGCTTGCTTATAATCTGAAGCATATATATAAAAATACTGTGACTTAAACATTTAAGTATTTTGGAGGAAACGAGAATGCTTGTGGAGGCATAAAGAAGAATCCAGTCGGGAAGCAATGGGCGTTCAGAACTCACACAGGTTTCAAAGGTAATATATATGCAGATGGTTTGCAAGAAAAAGAACCCAGAGTGGAAAGAAAAGAAAATCAAATCAACAATGTATATATTAAGGCTGTCTAGCAATTCCTATCATACACTGTTTTTCCTCTACTGTTGGTAAACCCATGAGCTTAGCAGCAAACTAGAAATTTCTTGAAATAGCAGTTCAAAGTCCCAGGGGACAACTTTGAGGTTAAATAAAAACCATTTTTGTTGAAAATTTGTAAATAATAGGGTTTAAGTTTTGCTATTCTCCTTTAAAAAACCAACATGGTAATTTTTTTGTCAAAAAAAAAAAAATCAATTCGAAAAAATACACATTGTGAGCTCTTAAACTTAAAACTTCAAAGTAATAAGACTAATATGATTTTGAGAAATTTTGGCCAGCCTTGTTATTTACAGGCATTGTGGCAAAAAAACCTTTATACAGCTATGTACTATTTCTCTTCCTAAATTTCATTACTGTAAGACTGGACGGTATCAGAACACTTGAAGATTAGGTACAAACTATTTGCTGTGGAATTTGGAAGTGCAGAGAAAGCACTGAAATGCTAGGGCATGCTCCTGGCAAAGGGCAGATGCATGCCACCTAAAAGGACTCTGCTGTCTTTTTTAACTTCTACAGAATCTTTGAGTAGGCTCAAGCAAGACAGTAAACAAAAATCTTTGTAGGAACCTCTGTTTTCACATTCCTTGTCTTCAGGATGTCTAGTTTTAATACACAAGCCATTTTTTCTGTCATATTGTACATTTACAGCTACATCTAATGCTTCTTGGAACTATAAAAATTCTGCCCTTCTAGCAACGTATGTTGTTAAAATGGGAAAGAACTGGGAAAAAGGCATCCTTAAATTGCAATCTAGGAGCTGCCACTGGTTTGCTCAGTCTGGTATATAACAAGTCACTTGGCTATACTCCTTAGTTCTTTGGTCTATAAAGGCTAATACTCATTTGTCTAACAGCAAGGATTTCACCAAATCACACTGTCATGTTCCTATTTGGTGTTGCAGAAATACCTGCAACACTAAGAGTTCTTTCTTGCAAATCAGAATGCTGCATCAAAAATAACAAAAGAAATTGTGAGACATTATCTTAAATCTTCTCGAGTCTGTGGTGACAGCCTTTCTCCCTGTCTGTACACAATCATCTTCTTTTCGTATTCAGCAAGAGACAAAATATAAATTTTTTTCTTCTGTAATTACTACATAAAGGGAGGTCAGATTTAAGGCCTAGCAGGAGAGAGAAGCCCACTAGTGTCAATACCTGGAGAGGAAAACTTCTAAAAAGATAGAAAAATCTAGGTTTACAACTCTGGTTTTGCATTCTGCTGGTTTTTTTCCCCCCTTATAGCTTCACAAATAAACTGCATCTGAAACACAGATGCCAAGCTGAAATAATGAAGCACTTCTCTGTAAGTGGCAGGGAGAGAGTGCACCAGGGAGCTGGGCCTACCACTGCAGCATAAAACCCATTCTTGCTGTGAGGGAGATGAATTGCTAACTCAGATAAGGAATGACTGGAAGGTTAGAAAGGAAAATGAGTAACATAGTATTCAGTATACGTACTGTTGTACTGACACCTCTAAGTTGTATTTATGTGGTTATTTCAATGAAATCACACTTTATATTATTGCATTCTGATGAACTTAACATCTGGTCTTCAACTTACAATTTTAAAAACATTTTTAACATAGAATGTTTCCTTTTTCAAAATATAATCACTGCTGTTTGGCACGTTAATTTAGGTTCTTATCCCTCAGATTATTCTGCTGAAGCAAAACACAGTGTTTTCTGGAGTGTCCATCTGAATTTCAAGATGTACATAAATTCAGAACACTTCACACATGGAACTGGGTTCAGGGTCAGTTTCACAGAGCTCAATCACACTATTTTTAACAGATTATTCTAGTTAAATGGACATTTACTATATTCAATCTCACTTAAAATATCAGTATATGAAATATAGAAGATGGGAGCACCATCTTACAACAATTTACTTTGCTTCTATCTCGTATATATTTCTAGTTGGCTATTTTTATTGTATGTCATTTGATGCATTAAAAAAAAGATACCATTTTAAGAACAAGGCACAAATCCTATCTAATCCCATTCTACTTCAATGTCAGTAATCTAGAATCGTAAAAACCATTCAATGATATTCCAGAAGTTCCAGTGGCCTCCACTTGCTTTAAAAAAGTTTTAATAATAAAGACATTTTCCTTGTTTAAAATTAACTACTAATTAGAAAATATCTAATATTTAAATAAGACTTATTCAACTTATTCCATTTCTGAGAAATGAAAAGTAATCAATTCACTATCTGTCTGCAGATTCTGTCTACAGCATCCAAAATTTGTAATGTGCTATCTAGAACAAATACAATGCCTGATATTACCATTTGGTACCATAAAGATCATCATATTACTAAAATTTTCTTTGTGAAAACCTGAATTTGCAACTTCATCATGTTACTGCCAATTAACAATTCTCATATATAATGTCTAAATTCAAACTAGTATTGCTAAGGAGAAGGAGGCAGGTTTGACATTCTTATGCAACTAGAGTTCTTCTAAATTTAGCCCCCTCTTCCTTATCTAAATGTAATTAATGTTAACAGAACTGCCAGGTGTGTATTTCTCACAAGGCATTCTTCTGTAAGGACAATAAAAAATAAGATGCTTGCAAATAAATTTTGGTGGGACAGTTTATCCACTAAATCCAATTAAAAGTCTTGCTAATCCAAACCATGAGGAAAGAGTAACAAACTTAGTTTTAGCTCCATTTCTGTCATCTCACTTCACTAATACAGGCAATGGAAATTTAAATTTTTGTAAACTTCTCAGCATACAGATGTAGTTGTGCTTAATTCTCATTCTAAGGTAAATTCACATATTTTAAAAATGCATATTTTCTACTCCTATTTAACTAAATTGTTGGAGGAATCCCCTATATATTAAAACATTTGGGACAGATTTAAGTATGACGACTGCTTTGAACATTGCTGACTCACAGATTCACAAGTGCCATGTCTACTCCCCTCCTTTTTAAAAAAAAAAAAAAAAGTCTTAACTGGTTGTATGAAGAGACTGGGAATCACAAATTCCTTTCCTGATTTCCTTTTTTTCCAGAGATCCCCTGACTAGAAGAGAAAAAGCTTCCAAGTTAAGCTTTTCCAAGTAACAGTGAATGGCTGAGGATCACAGCAGTTTCAGAAAGCACAGTTTTTGGCATCAGCGTAGTAAAGACAACAGCACAAAGCCGTGTTTGGACAACACCTAGTTACAGAAAGTCTAGCTGCTACATTTTCCAACGACTGTGTATGAATTATGCAAGTCATAATGAGGCCAAATGGGTTGTCTTTGATAGTCCATCTATTTAGACAATTCAGTCTGTCATTCTTAAATATATTCTTTTATCAGAAAAGGTTTCTATGGCAGAAAGAAGAAACAATCTCTATGTACAATTTCAAAAGCCTTTTATATGACTAAGAGTGAATTTTTTCCTTCATTTTTTTTTTTATCCTCGGAAACTATTTTCTGAGGACAATTTGAATTACTCTAGGAATAAACTGTGCAGCTTGAAACCTTAGAGCTCCATAACGTAAAATATAAAACAAATGTCTTTGTAAAAAGGTTTCCATATGCAAAAAAAGAGAACGCTCTCTACTGTGTTGCTGAGTCACTAATGCTTTTTTTTTTACTTCACTGAGCATGCACCAGCAGATTGCTTTTGAAAGAACGATGTCTAACAGCTGAAAAACTCAACTAAACAAGTTTAAAGGGAAAATAAACCCAGACTTCTAAGTGCAGCAGATTATTTTTCCCACAGATATGAAAAATAATACCGTTCTATTATACAAAAAATATGTTTGTGTAACTCTGTTAAAATTTTTTTTTGACCCTCATGAAAAAACAAAAAAAATTCAACAAAAATAATATTCCTTCTTGGTACTAGTATAGTATAGCTAGTATAGCTATGGTTAATTCAAATTCAGTATTATCTTACATCTAGTTTGCAAAAATGTAAGAATCGCAGACTCTTCTGAACTGGAAGGGACCCACAAGGATCAAGCCCAACTCATAAGTGAACGGCCCATACGGGATTGAAGCCACAACCCTGGCTTTCATAGCACTGTGCTCTGACCAACTGAGCTAATCCCAGGGTCAGTCGGTCAGGACACAGAAATTAATTGTAAGTGAAGTACAGTATGGATGCTCTTGCATACCAAAAGATAAGCCCTTAAATTACATTGAAAATGCCATAGTCCTTACTAGAAAGACGTTTAAAACAGTAAATAAAAAATTCCACTAAATCAACTCAATACTGTTAGATACTGCATACAAAATATAACCACCACTTCTAAGCTTTCTCCATAATCTGTTTTAGCCCAAATGCATTGTCTTTCCTGTTTCTTCACATGAAGGTGCATTGGTATTTGGGGGAGGAGTAGGGGAAAAAAATGCAAGTACACAAGTGGTATGTCTGAAGAATTATACTAGCAATATTGTATTTCAGGCTATCACTACTCAAAATTGTTTTAAGGGCTATTAGAAGAATAAAAAGGGTATTTAAGAACAACACTATAAAAATGAATTAATTTAACTTCAGTTTATATTCCTTTGGAATGGTTAAGATCTAGTTATGAAAAGTGTTTCAAGAAAGCTGCTGCAATGATTAGTTAAATCAAACATCTACTCCCTATTACCCTACCTTGAAAATATCTTACTGAAAGCTAAAAATTACTTTTCTTTTGATCATGTCTGTTGTAATGACTAAACTTTGTCTAAGTGAAGCCAAAACTATGCATCTATAAACAATTTTTTGGCAGGCATAAACTTAGTTTTCAGTGAATCATATTTGAGACAAAGTTTTTCCAAGTTCATGAAAGCAAAAGTGGTGAAATTTGACTTCCTTCTAAAATGGATCTTGACATGCAAAACTGTAGCTAATACATGGGGTGTCTGTTCTGCATTGTGCAAAATCTGAGACAAGATGCTTAGTCATACTCCAGATATTGTAAGCAGCTAAATCTGAAACACGTGCTTAAAATTCCAGGGACTTTCACTTTACTGCTGTGATCAGATATAAAAGATGCATTGTTTTAGTGTGCTCCTATTTACTTGAAAACTTGTCATAAAAATATTCTCTACTTACAAAATACTCTCCAGTGACAACAAAGTATGTTATATATTAATAAGAACAACAAATAAGTAATAATCTTATTAATCCTGTGCATTATGCAAGCAAATATGCTGGGTTCTTAAGTAAACGTTAGATTTTCTGTGGTGAAAAGAAAAACCACAGAGACTGATAGAACCAAATCAGTGTTTTATGGTTGACAGAAAAAAAAATTAAAGTTGCTCAGAAATTACAGAAATGCCAACTAATGGTGATTAAACAGAGAGTAGAAAAGAACTAAAAGGCTCTTCTAGCATGAGATCTCTTCTTCCCATTTTCAGTCCATAACGAACATTTCTCATGCCTTAGTGTTAATAACATAGCTGTTTCAGCTGAAATTACTTCCACCGAGAAAAAATATCTTATTCAATCAATTTAAATAACAGCACACAATTACTCTATTTAAATTCAGTTGGCGTGTGCATTGTTCTACGGCACTCAAACAGAAAAAGGGGTTTCCTTTGAATTCATCACTATCTATGGCTTCCATCTGTTCTAGCTCAAACATAAAACTTAGCAGAATTTTCACTGCAAGAGGATGATGGTGAAACTGGTAAAAAACCCAAACCTCTTAACTGTAGACTGACACCCTATACTCATGTCCCTAGAAAGCACAGACGGAAACTACTGAGTGTTTCAAAGTGCCTATGTATGAACAAAATTCACTTTAAAAATCTTAAAGCTTTGTCTTATCTTATTCTCCACAGAAAACTATTATTGGAAATACATCATTTTCATCCACTGCATCATAACAAAATATGAAGAGATGAATAAAATTAAAAGTTCTTTTTTTCTGCGCTCACTGTGCCTCTGAAAGCCCTTCTGCATTATAAAGCCAAAATGAAAAAAGCAAGATGACAGGGGGAACAGAGCAACCATTTCCATTTGTCATGTCAGCATGCACAGAAAGAAGAAATAACAGACTGGTTTTCAGGCCTGTGAGAGGTGCCAATGACAGTTCACTGCAACAGATCTCCATTCTCTAACTTTATTCCTAACAGTAGCTTTCAGACAACCAAAGAAATATTAGTCACCACCTGAGTGCGACAAACAGAAGCAACAATGCTTTGGAACAGGGATGGTACATGTAGCCACCTCATCTTTGATGAGATACACATGCTTTTAGTCCACAGCAATTACCACTGGGGCCAGCTGTTCACTGTTTGAAACCCCTTGTGTTAATAATGTTTAGCTAACATGTAGAACAGACAAACTGAATTTAATAATGGACTTAAATGACAAATTTGCTAAAACTGGAATTAAATCTCTGTAGGCAGTAAGAAACAGGACATCGGATTTAAGAACACTTACGAAAATTTAATTTCAGCTTCCACTTTAAGGTGGAAGAAATTTAACTGCCCAAGTATATGCTACATACTTACAGATGCTTTCTAGAGAATTTCAGCTTGGGAAAAAACTCTAAACTTTTGGCTGAATATTGTAAATCTTTAGATACTATTACATGCTACCTGAATACTACAGGCCATACAATTGATTACATAGATCTTAATAGAACTATGAGCAGATTCTGGCAAGGTGTCCTTCAAATTAGAGAACACAGGCCCTTATGTACTAATGCAACATATATTAAGTCTAGAAGCCTCTAGTGAATAGAGAATGGATGGGAGTAAATAATCATGCAAAAAATAAATAAATAATTTTTGATTATTTTTTCAGTTGCTTCAATCTGGATATTTAATTTCTACAAAGCAAGCCTGAAGTCCTGGATAATTCTGAAGTTAGATTATGCTAAGTCTAATTAGAACACCACAAATGAAGTAACATTTGATCAGGCCAAATAAAATGGCTTGGGTTCCCTGCCCCGCAATTCAACAGTAAACAGCACCTGAGAAAGTGGGGAAAAACAGAATTCACACAAGTGAATAAATGTACAGGGAACAGAGGAGTTAAAATTGAAGCCCACATATGCTAGCTGCATGCTTACTGCTGTGGCCAAGTGACTTAACAGAGCCCAAAGCAGCAAGAAGAACCAGCAATCTAAAGCCAAGTGTATTGCTAGACTTCTTCAGATTGGATGCATTATCCTTCAGGAGCTTTGAAAAAAATATTTGAAAGGACAAAACCTGATTTCATCAATGGACTTAATTTTCTTTCCAGATTCCACTGCAGAGAAATGGAAAATTAACTGGCTAACACTGGTAGTGGTTTGATTCCCCTCCCACACTCTCTTGGTTACCTCTAACAGAATACTGCGTCTTCATAAATTGAGGTAGAATTTTCTACAGCAATCAAGAAAATTTCAAATAGAACAAACTAGAAATTTCTTGGGGAAAGGACGGAAGGATGGAGGGGGAAATCGAGAAAAAAACTATGAAGACAGTAAAACTTGTTTTAAACAACTATAAACCAATGTCTTCATTAAAATACAGCTTAAGATTAGCTTTTCATGTGTGAGAAAATAATGCATTTGCTATTTTAATATGAACGTAGAATCGAAATTAGCAATCAATATTAATTCAAATATGCAGAATAGATGACCCTTTTTTCTTTATTTAGCATAATAACATACCTTTAAGTGGATCATGCTCTGCTCTCATAATGTCAATAAGGGAGTTTTCCAAAGAGTGCATATTCAGACTATCATACATTCTATTTCGATCCTAAAAGAAAACAGAATTGTTAATATTGGAATACAAATTCTGTAGTTTTTAATAAGAAACTTGAAAGGAAAACAAAGGTTCCTTCCAAAGGCTGTACACTCAGACACTCTGGATATGGACAATGACACCAAGTAAGATCTGACACTATTAACAGTAAGTTTGACAGCATCCAAATATAAAACTAGAGATGCAGCGTGCAGAACTCTGCTGCGTATGCACTTTGACAGCCTGTGATTGCCTGTTTCCTTCAGAACTGCTTGAATCAGTTCTAGTGATCCACAGCAGTTATGCATTAGGCTGATTAATGAAGGGGACTAATGCCTTTAAGAGCTCAATTTCATTTCATGCACACGTTAAATAGTAAGTAAGGTAGGGAACTACGAGACAAGAAGGACAGTCACCTCACATAAAAGAAAGCACCTTCCTGGTGCTTGGTTAAGTGCCTGGCATGGGCCCACAGCCCCTGCTGAGACTGAGCTTCAGGGCGATTTAGTTGAGATGCTTTGCATACAAAGACTTGAGTTACAAATGGTCAGCACTAAATGGCTAAAGGATGGAAAATTAAAGCTAAACTACAAAGAAGAAATGTCACAAAGCCTACTAACAGATATTCAGTTTTACAGAGGACAATTTTTTTTGCACATTAACATGAAGAAGTTACCATACTATCTTACAAATATTTTCACTGAAGGTAATAAAATTTATTACCAATAAAATGAACCATAAACGTTTTCCATGATTTTGTTTACCTATGACACTTTCTCCCATGTTTTCCAATAAACAGAAACAGAAGAAAGAGGACTAAGTCCTTTAGTCTTTCAGGGATACCTTCAGAAACTGAAAAACTTCGTGTGTAAAACCATAATCTCTTCCTACTTGCAAGGCTTCTGGCTAGACTGTACTGCACTTAATGAACTTAAGGACTATAATCATGCCTTAGTTTTACTGTTGTCTTCTGTCTGCACTGTAATAATTCCAAAGAGTAGTATGAACTACACCACACACATCGCATGACTGTTAAAACTCCCTAAAGATGCAGCCATCCACTTAGTACGTATATAATGGACACAGAAGGTATCTGATCCACATTCACTGACATTCCATGACAGTTCAGCAGAGCATAGACTCATTTCAAACTACATCCCTCAGAAAGCAGGTATTCTTTACATTGGAGGAGTAAAAACTCAAGCTTTGAAATAGAGGTCTTCTATGAGTCAGAAACTGTGACTTATGATCAGCTTTGCAAGACAAGCCCTGACGAAATTTAGATTTTACTTTCATCTTTCTTAGAGAGTTCAATGTTGGCATGAAGAGGGAGAAGCCTTTTTTTCCAGCTCTCTCTTCCTCAAACAACTATAAAGAGTAATGGCTTCCTGTTGGGTAAGCAATCTGTTACAGTCATTTGATCAGACTCTTTACTTTCTTTCTGGAAGCCCTTAGACAATTTTAACAATAAATTAAAAAAGTAGGTTTCTGTTGTCTCCTGCCACATCCCAGATCAAATGCCAGTGACACTTTGTTAGGTGATCTTCAACCTGTTTTGAGTGCCAACAAGTCACCAGCACTATTTTAGTTCACAACAGCCTCTACTTTGGGACTGTTTGGCTTTCATTCAGTTCTCTAGCTGTCCTGAGAAGCATTAGAATGAAACTGAAGTGACTAATCTGCTTCCATGCCCTTACAGGTTTGTTTCTCGATAGGACAATGAAAAGAACCTGCTTACCACCGCAAACCTCCTTTCTATAGAAGGTGTGAGCAGTGGCAGAGCTGGATCTGTTCCCTACTGTCCCCTAACGTTCAAAAGGTATCTCATCAGGATTTTCAATGAAGTCTTACATTCAGCTTAAGGCAGTACTTGGTAAGTAGTAAGTGCTCTTGCAAAATACAATGCTAAGTAAACAGAAAACATGTTTTGCTACCTCTGTAGCTGAGAGGGGAAAAGAACTAGTATTGATAAAAACTTGACTAAACTGTATGTGTGACATTTTATCTTTGTTACAGGCTCACTACAGATTTTTTTTTTTGATCATTATTACATACATATATGTTGAGATAATGTATGACTATCTGGAAAATGTACGATTATCACTATTACAGACTTAACAACGCTCTGGAGAGCAGAAGCCAGTAAGAAAAAGCTCCACCACGCTTAGTTCCTAAAACTGGCCCACTTGGTCCTAGATCTTACAAAGGAATGGAAAAATAAAACACAGAACATGTGTTTGCAATTAATTTGTAAACTGCTCCACTGGGTGACATGGTGAAATGAGTCTAACTTCACCCTTGCATCATGCTATTTTGCAAGTTCTGTGTATCTCAAGTGAAAGGTCTTGTGCTGCTAGAAGCAGAGAAATAATAAACTTTTCCCATCCTCTTTACACCTTAAAAAGTTCATGTCTACAAAGCTAAAAAAATAAAGAGGTCTGTTTCCTTGAATTGTATTACGTATTTTCTGGCAGTGGAAACATATAATAGGTAGGCACCTCACACTATAAAAATGTTGGGAACACACTAAAGCAGGATTTAAGTACAGGAATTGCATTCTACTATCCCACTACTCACACATCACACTATTCACTTGTGAGTTTTGATAATATCTTGGCAATCAGTGCTTCAAAATTTTAATCTCTATTTCAATTCACACTGCATTACTTGAAATTTAACTATCTCAAAAGCAGTAAGTCATTCTTTGGGTACAAGGGTCATTTTAGATCTTTGTGCAACTAGGCTTTATAATGCTAAAACACTGCTTTGAGCTCCCTAAATACGTACATCATATCTTTAAAGAGAACAGTTATCATCTATGCAAATACGGAGCTTTCATTTCAAAGCTAAACTTAAAAGTATTTCAATAATGTAGGTCACACATCAGCAAACATTTTCTGGAAAGCTCTGTTGAAAGGGGATGATTCTACTACAGCATGCTCTACTACATCAGAAAACTTCCATTATGATTTTGGTCAACTTTTGGGACAAGCACAAAAAGTACCACCTCTGAACATGACTGTTCTACATAGTTCTCCATGCATGTGGAAATAGTCCCAAGAATTGGGACTACCTTTAGTTCCATTATTTCAACACAGCTGATAAGCAGTTATCTTCTAAAACAATCTGGAACTACCTTTAAAACAACATGGAAATAGTTCTAATTCTTGGGACTTTTTCCATGTTGTTTTAAAAGTAGTTCCAGGTTGTTTTAGAAGATAACTGCTTCTCAACCGTGTTGAAATAATGAAACTAAAGATAATCAGTAGTACAAAGGCATTGATACATGAGTGTGTATGTTAATACATGCTTTCTATTATCCTGACTCCAAGAGCACCTTTTGTGAAGGCTGAATTCCTGTAAAATATTTTGCATTTCCCTCAGCTCTGGCTCATCAGTTCTATGCTAAGAAGCAAGTGACTCTTGCTGTGAGATACAGGAGGTCTGTATCTCAGTGGAATGTCACAACATAATGCCAGCTTTTCTTCCCCCCCCTGAGAGCTGACAGTTAACTTCTCCCAAGCACTACAAATACTCAAAATAGCTTTTTACTTCCTTTTAATTGTATAAGCATTTGAATGCTGCTTGACCCACCTTTCCAATACCAGAATCATAACTGTGTTCATACACAACAGAATTGAAAATGTGGTTTTGGTGTAACCGCCTACAGATCCAGACCTATATGGCTAAGCGATAAATTGTCATCTCCACTTAAAGTTAAGACTGTGTAAGAAATTTTACGGAAAAGTGATAATTATTTTCTGAATTTTTACAAATTTAAACAATATAGGAGAAGCACAAAGTATCCTTCCCACGGAGGACTGTTAGAAGGACCTTTTGACAATGTCATGTAAAACACATCTACAGAGTGCACATTTCAGAAGTCCCCAAGCTGTGCATCTGAATGCGCAGGGATGGGAGGACGGCAGCTTTCTCTGAAGAACAAGTTTCAACGCTAAACTACTGAACAAATAATTTTTCTTGGCAGACTATTTAGGACTTCTAAATATACCCATGCAATTTATGCGAAGATTATCCTGTTTGAGCATTTGCAGAAACTCAGTGCAGTCACATTTCAAAGCTCATATATTGTCATTTATACATAAAGCAAATGCAACATCAGAAGCCATTATGGTGAACAGTTTTGCTACTCTTTAATTACGAACATTAAAAATAGATGCTCATAGTTAATAGGTTTGACAACTTTTGATTTTGAACATATGCTCTAAACTACTGATCTGCAGAACTAGTTCAAGTAAAGAATTAGCCTTCTAACACAGGTATTAAAATCATTAAGTGGTAGTATCTTTTAAGATGACCATTTACACGTCCCTTCATATTCTGTAGGATTATAGCATGCGACGGGGGCTGAAGACAAAAGTCACAAAGCTTGTAGTCAGTTTCAAGTATGGTCCTAGTTGGCTGCAAAAAAGACTCTGTAGCTTTGACCTTGATGAATTAACTGAGTTTGTTAGAAGCTAAAATAAAGAAAAATTAAATTAAAACTGACCCCTGAATAAAAATGTGCTCTAAGACTAGACAGCAACAACTGATTTAGTAATAAAGTATCCAGACTTTAAAAAGCACCCGAATATAGTATTCAGTATTAACCTTACCAGTAATAACCTAACAATTAAGTACATTACGTATTCTAAACTACCTGCTAAAATCTGAACTTCAAGTCATTCTCATTTTAGTGAGAACATACTATAATCATAATCCCCTTGTTGAAACCATAGCTAGTGTAAATGAAAAACTTAATATGAAAACCTATGACAATTACAATTTTAGCTCTATAAAAAAGGCAAGAAGGAAGGCTTAAAGTAGACACAAGAAATTGTTTGGTTACTTTTCATGGTGTCATTAGTGGTAGAGTTGAACTAAAGATGTCTGGTAGACATCTCTGAACGGTCAACCTGACAACAAAGTGTTTTGAAGTTAAAATGACACAATCAGCTATGTAAGCTAGCTCAACTGAGCCTAAAATGCACCAGAACAGGTCCTGTGGTAGACACACCTACTTTCCAACTACATAAGCATTTAAAAACAAACAAAAAAATACCAACAGCATGTACTGTATCTATACTGGAATACTTCAGCTCAAGAATATATATTCATAAACTGGAAACAACCAGACACATCATGGAGATCATTAAAGACTGGGCAATCTTGACTTACGAGGAAAATCTAGAAAATTTCTGTACCGATATTTTCAATTAAATAACTAAAGGGACAATTAAGACATTTGAATGGGAAGTTGTTATTCAAGGTTTGGGTTCCTCACACCCCGCCCCCCCGCCCCGAGAAATATCTATACTGCCTTCGGTACTCAAGTAAATACATCAGCACATATGGTAAATGTACTTTGGATAGATCTTAGGTGAGAACGTATTCATTTTACCTCAGAAGAACTGTGCTTTGGCAGAACGAGGTGACGTTAAAAGCATGGCAGCAGACTGCTTTCCCCAGTCAGAGATATCCCCTGTATGGTCCTCAAACACAGATATCTGGTTTTGTGTGTTATTTAATCAGTCCCAGGTAATCAATCCACTGCATTAAAAATCCCGAAACTGTTCTGTGGCAGCACTGCCTTAGTAAAAATAAAGTGGTAAAGCCTGGCTTACAAATTACTGTTTGGACAATTACACTAGTCTAAAGACTAAGAGAACTTCGCAGCTGTACTCCCAGTGCCTTCAAGTTTAACATCAGCTGACAAACACTCAGCACTTCTGAAGAAACAGGCCACATATTTTGGAGTCTAAACATGGCATTAAGAATCCAACTTTAGCAACTTGCTCTTCACCTAATATTCACTGCTATCTGTATCATCTAGATTAGCCATTTAAACTGTTATGCTATATTAAATTGTACTAAAACTATCATATTGAAAATCTGAAATTCTCTGAATGGAAGTGATTGTAAGGCACAAGCAACGTGACAGCAGCTTAAATTAAATATCTAAAACTAACATCTGTTGTGACATACAGCAAATCACTTGAAATAAGACTATCTTTGAAAACTTGAGCGTATTTAAAAAATAAATAGCAAAAGAAAAATATGCATTTGTACAAGATGCTACCTTACAACACAAATCCCCAGCTGGAGATCTAAATTCCAACACAGAATAATAAAGCTCAGCTTTTAGGACCACGAACATTACACATACTGTTTGTTTGAACAAACAGGAAGGACAAATCAAGGTGAAAAACACCCAGACACACAGTGTATTTCCGTAATTCGAAAGAAACACAGAAACTAAATTCATATTCATAGAATGCAGTGTTTTTACTACAATGAAAATAGCTGAACACTGCAGTGTATTATTAAACTGTTTTAACAGGTTTTAGTAAGCTCATTTGCAAGACAGTAAGAAAAACTAAGCTTGTAATCAAAATAGGGTTAGCAGGCACTGCAATTCTAAAAAAAAAAAAAAAAAAAAAGTAAATTTAGAAACGGTTAATTACTGTCCTCATCCAAGGAACGTAAATCAAGAAAAATGGATACACAAAACATTGATTTCTGTGCTTGCATGCTGGCCACATAAATGCCTGAAGCATGTTTTTTCAGGAAAAACAACAGTATCAGGTGTTAAAAAAAAAAAAATTTTAGTTTTGTATCCTATATTTTTTTTTTACTTCGGGTCAGGGAATAAGAGGGAATAGTCATATTATCTGACTTCTCGAAACGCAATGTAAGTGCCTACACTGGAATCCCAGGGGCTGTGTAAGGTCAGCGGTGCCAGGTATGTTCTTCTAGAGAATTAGATTATCTAAATAAGGAGCCTAGATTCTCTCTAAGGAGAGAGAAATAGACTGCTCAATTAAATGCTTAAGTTGTATGGTGTCAATATCTGACAAGGTTTCTGACTGTTCCTTTAATGATTCTGGTACAAAGCAACAATCCCTTCCCTATATGAAGTACCTATAATGGTGTAAGCAGTATGGCAGAACTTAAAACTTGTAGGCATGATTTTGTCTATGAAAGAACTTTATTTGATGCAGTTTATATTAACTTAAAAACCTGAGGAAGGCAAAAATAGCTTCTTACAGTGAGTCCCATAAGAAAACTTGGCTATAGGCTTAAGTTGCTCACGTTTAAATCAGCATTGCCTGACCTTTAAATCAAGCCCAAATTCTAGCAATTCTTCCTTCAAAACCTGTTGAACTTTTCAAAAATCCCAAGAGATATCCTTCATAATTTCTGTAAGCAAAAGCAACTTTGCTGCAACTAATGTGGCCACTGTGAGTTCAACTTCACATGGGACATATTTCAGTTTTAACTAGGAAGTACAGAAAAATCTGCTTTCATCCCTGTAATACATATGATTATTTATTCAGTTATCAGCAATGACATTCATTGTCACTGGTATGTTAGTTTAATGTCAGCAAACATTATTTTCACCAGAACTGATGTCAGTTCTATACTGGGGACCACCATCAATGCAAAGACCAAAGAATAAAGAAGCTTGACGGAAGGGCAGAGCTTTGAATTTGCATATAATTCCTCTGTGGCTTATCTTGTTTGCATGAGATACATGTTCTTCAGAAAATGGATGAGCAGCTGACACTGCTGAAGGCTATCTGGACTTAGAAAAAATATAAAGCATTTTAAAAAAATGGTATCAACATTAACAATCTACACAAAGTCCGTCACTGAGGGCACTGGCATTTCTAACCTGTGTTTATTTGCTAATTTTGAACTAGCTAAAGTTCAGAGGAAAGGTGCTTTGTCCCCTCCCACACAAAATGATTACTGCAGTTAAAACAAAGAAAAAAATTATTCTGCAAAAGTGTGAGTGATGCAGCGTGGGTATCCAACATGCATGCTAAGGTGTATTGGCTCCGTGGAAGCTTGGAAGAGATAGGTAACTTCTACACACACCAACACTTTTGTGTTGACTTTCCAGACATCACAAAATTTAATTAGTACTATTTTTTGTACCTTCGGATATTGCTACTGTATCTTTAAGATTCTTCAATCTAAATACCACAACCTTTTATGGAAGGAAACAAGCACAGTACAAATTAGCAAGATGGGTGTTTGACAGCATCACAATTGCCAACACAAGTCCTGATGAAAAGAAGCACGAGCTCCAAGCTCTATTTAACTTTTTCATTATGACTTCCAAAATGTAATAGTCATCACAAGGAATTAATCATATAACAATAGTGTACTAACTGAAAAATAAGAACACAATTTTAGTGTAGCAAAACAATTTATGGAAACACCTAGTGTTTCCACAATAGCAGTAGATAACACTGCAACCCTTCAAAGAGGATTATTTTTACTGTGTTCTTCAACCATGACTTTATACACGTCAGGGAGATTTAAGCATAGACAGATCTACAGTGTAAATATAGCCATTTAATTGGTGATTCTGGTGCTCACAGGTATGATCAACAACTAAGTTTCCAAAGTGTCACTTTGACACTATCTCTTAAAAAAATCCCCTATTCCCTAAGTAGAAACATTAATGTATTATAAAGTTAAACTACAAGGATTTCTTTCCTACCCTACTACATAGAAGTTATAGTCTGAATGCACAAGACATTTGTTTAGACATAAAATGAGTTAATCTATAGAAAACAACCACTATAGAAGCTTCTGGAAGTTGAAAGTAATGGTCATATGGACTTCTAAGGTCTATTGAATGAGCAAATATATTCACAATCTGTGCTTAGCTGCATATGAATTACAATGTATACGTTGCTGCAGCTTCAACATACGATAGCATTAATATTTTTAAACCTGTTCTTTAGGCTAACATCTTTGGGACACATTTCAGGGTTTACTTTCTACTATTCTCAAAGCCCTGCACTGCAAAGCATTACCTGTCTGTAATCTGTTTTCCTTAACAGAACATAATACCTGAAGAATGCCACATTTTGCCCCCATCTTTCTACCCACACAAAAGATTATTCAACTATGATATTCCAGCTAGCAAGGCTACTTAATGGAACCAGTATTCACAGTACGAGCAAATCCTCTTGAGTTTCAGGTCCAAACACATACACTTGGAGCAGGACTTTGGCACGTTCAAAAGTCATGTAACTTCAAGAATACTGCCAGTAACTGAGCTCACCTGGACAGAGCTGGGACATGGCCTTCTGTCCCATATGGACCTGTGCCAGCAAAACGTCAAGAGAAACAGGAACTCTAGTGGGACATCTGGTCCCAAGGAGCATCCTTTTGCCACTACAGCTACATAAGGATTAGATTGCTAATTCATGCAAATACAGCTTTATCAATTCAAATGTGGTCACGAATGAAAGGCCTCTGCTAACAAGGAATAACTAAATCAATATAGGATATTTTTCCCATTCTTACGTTTTACCAGGAGGTTACTGAGGCTGGAGCTAAGTGACTTACCTAAAGTCACATAAGATGTCACTGGAAAAATTCAGGAGGTGAACCCAGATCTTTAGTTCTAAGACACATCCTCCTGTTTAACACTTCTAAGTCACAGGGCTTCCAGATAAAAGAAAACATAAAAGGTGCTAAAGTGTGGAGGAAAAAGATCTCACTAATATGCAAATGTCAGCCCAGAACACCAGCAAAGGACGAACATGTCGAAGACTCAAGAGTCATCTATGGAAGTAAGAAAATCTATGTACAAGGACAAGTAAACAAAAAAAAATACCGAGGTCTAAAGGGATTTATAAGAATGTGAGCATTACCATAGTCAGAAAATACTTGCTGGATTAAACATATTTTGTTTTATTGCTTCATCACTGCCTACAGTTTCTATCTTTCTTGACAGTCAATATTCTTATTTAAAGGTGAGAATCATATACTGCTGAATACACTGAAAACATGGGGATTAGTTAAAATTTAAGACTAAAAATAATCTAGAAACATACAATTTTCAAACCAAGTACCAGAGCTGCAACTACTGTTTAATTCTCATTAAAAATGAATCAAGTCAAAATGCTATGCAAGACCACGAACACACCGGCTACATACCATCCTTACCTGCAAAGGAAGGAGAGTATTACTGTTGGTGTCAGTTCGGAAAACATTATCTTCAATCCACGATTTTGGTGTCAGTGATGGAGTGGAGCGAGTAAATTTAGGAGGAGCTATGACATTACCAGAAAAGGGCTTCTTCAAAGGAGAGATTTGGTTCATAGTTCCTGGAATTCCTATGTTTCCAGTTCTACGATGGTCTCTGCCATGCATTCCTCCCCAAGATATATTTCCTGTGCTCCAGCCGCTGCTCTGATTGCTCCAAGGTGACTGCTTCAGAAGAGGCTAAAAAAAACCCAAAAAAACCAAAAAAAGATTATTTACATTATTTTGAAAATACATGTTTTTCCACGAAAAAACAGAAAAAAAAAAACAACAAACAACCAAAAACCCCCATCAAACTCTAAAACAACCAACCACCATGCAAGCAACGTGCAGAGATTTCTATTAACCACTCTTTCCTGACAACATGTAAATTAATTCCTGAGGCAAGGAAGAAAACACAGCTTCATTAACAAAAAAAAAAAAGAAGTAATTTCTACTTCTTCATATATCCCCCCAGTAAACCCCACAGTACTTGTGCAAGCAATTTAGATTATCATTTTAGTAACTGGCAGCATTCCTTAAAAATATGTAAAAGAACAATTCCAGGGTGTAAAACCAACTTACAAAAAACCCTGAGACCAATTTATCATACATTAAAATAACACAATAAATTCAAAGAGATTAACTTAAAAATTATTATTAAAGCACGATTTATATTTCTACTAATAAGAATTATTTCTACTCAGTGAATAGTACTGCACTAGTTAGTAGAAATTTAAAAATTAGAATTCAAATGACAGATTTAATCCCCCCTCCCGTATTTTGAATATCATTGTCTCAGTATTACCATATAAGAGCAAAAAGAGCACTGACTATTGTACAGAGAATCAGCCTGAAAGGCTATCATAACATTTCCAAATTAAAACACATTATTCTGAAGCCCCTGGTCTAATATTTCTGGAGTAATAAATGGAGTAATTTCTGGAATAATGAACCTGGTATTCTGCGGGATGTACTCTGCAATTTTTTTTGGAGAATTTTTTTTTTTTTGTCTACAGGTGGTCTATCTTACCTAGATGCACATGTATCTAACAAGCACCCTATATTCTCCAACATAAAAACAGAAGCAGTTTTTAGATGAAGGTTTTTACAAGATAATAACTTGTTATTCCTAAGCCACAACTTGTGCTAGAAAGTGACCTATAGTGGTTGTCATACTACCAAGAGGTGGACCCACTGAGCCTGACTGACAGTGAAGAACTGTATTTATCTTTAGCATTCTCAAATCTGACTGTTCTTGGAAAGGCTTTTTCTCAAACATAGAAATGGAATGGGGGCGTGTGATAAATCTAAATTCAGTTCTGTTAAGTGAAAATACAGTACTTTTATCTCTAAGCTTAGCAGTAAGCAACCCTCAGCTTGCAATTCTAATAACTTAAAAATTTAAAGCATGTCAATACATTATGCATTAGATAAAACAGAACTTTATGAAGACAGAAAGCTAAAGTTATAACAACATCTCCCTTACCCCCAACCCCAAAAAAGAAACTAAAAAACTACTAAAGCCATTCTTGGTCAAGTAATCAGGAAAACATCCCATTCTATATAATTATAGATAATTATGTTGTAAAACTTGAATACTTCGGTTGGAATTTTGGGAGAGGCAGGCACTCTATTGTGAAACAAACCTTAAGAGATAATGCCAAATGTTAACAAGCCTCTAATATTGCTAGCTATGCTGTCATGGCACTGTTTAAGTATACCTACAACTTATAAGTGAGAGAAAATTCCTGTACACCTCACTGCTGGAGAATTGCTTTGGAATTTGTTTGAAGAAGGTTATTATAGACGTTAAGGACAACTAGCTTCAAATGGTGATGCACTGCAATCAGTAGTCGGATAGGCATACTTAATGTGCTATTCCAGTTCTAATACAAATTGATCTCTACCGATTAAAACTGACAGGATTTAATACTAGAACAAAAAAAAAAATTAAGAAGAGGCCTATACAACTCCAGCCTTTCATAATTGAGCAAATAATCACAGCAAGATGGGCTTATAATGCAATTGCTGGTGATATTAACATAGATTTGCTTCTCTCTGATTTCTTACAGTATTTTGTTCCAGAAAGAAACATAAACTTCCATTTTTAACACGGGATCGCGACACAACTCGATAAAAATCGGTCACAGAAGTATGGGAACCTGAAACAGCGCTGTCCTCGGACACACATTCAAGCAACGTCAGCCAAAACCGCTGAAAGGGCAGCACGGCGACAGCTTTCGCACCTAAACCTCTTCCTGGCGACCTGCGCCCGTCCGGCCGAGGGCCGGTGCGAGGCCGGGGAAGGGGCTGCGCGGGGGCGGCGCCGGCCGGAGCTGTCAGGCTCATTGTTCGGGGACAGCCCGCCCGCCGCGGGGGACGAGGGGGCGTTTTCACGGCGAGACTCCCTGACACCAACAGGAGCGTTTGCGCTCTTTTAAAAGATCATTCTTCCCTCGTCCCTTAAAAACCGGCGTCCCTGGACAGCCGACGGCGCACCGAGGAGTGCCGGCAGTAGCGCAGGGGACGGGGCCGAAGGGCCGTTCCGGCACCTGCCACCCGGAGCGGCCGGGGAGCGCGGCCGGGCGCGGAGCGGACGCTGCCCGCAGACTTCTCCGGCTCGACCCCTCCGGCCGCCCGGGCCCGCACCGGGCGGGGGGCGCAGGTGCCCTCCCCCCCTCCCTCCCGCTGGGCCGGCCCCGCCCTGCCGCCGCCACCGCGGTCCCGCCGGGCTGTCACCGCCGCGCAGCCTCGCCCGGCGCCGGCGGCGAAGTCGCCCGGCTCCCGCGACCAGCGAAACGAGGGCAGCGGCGCCCCCGTCCTGTCCTCGCGTCCCCCTCCCCGCCCCGGGGCTCCCAATCGCCCTGCGCTCCCCGCCCGATACCTGGTGATGGTTGTAGGAGTTTCTCTGCTGTAAGAAGGCGGCGGCGGCCGCCGCCGCCTGGTGTTGGTGCTGGAGCTGGGGGCTCACAGGGGATCTCCGGTTCTGCTGCTGCTGTTGCTGCTGCTGAGGTAAATTCATCTGCGGCGGCGGCGGGGGGGCGGCGGCCGAGAAGGGGCTGCTGAAGGGCCCGGCGCAGGGGTTGTGAGGAGACACCGGCGAGAAGCTCTGGAAGAAAGCGGGGTTGATCGATGACGGGATCCCCGGATAGAAGCTGGTCTCAGACTCCGGGCTCGGGGGCGGCATCGCGCTGATCTGCCCGCCGCCGCCGCCGCCGCCGCTGGAGACCGGAGGCTGCTGCGTCTGCTGCGGAGGCGGCGACGAGGTCTGCACCGACCAGGGGGTGCCGAAGCCGGGCAGCGGCGGAGGAGGAGGGGAAGCCGCCGAGGAGGAGCCGCCCCCGCTCTGGTGATGGGGGCTGGGGATCTCCGGGCTCTGCAGGCTGCTGAAGCCAGAGCCGAGCCCGCCGGGCAGGAGGTTCCCGGGGCTGCCCAGTAAGTGGCTGTTCGGGGGGGACTCCATGGGGGGCAGCTTGGCTCTCGCCTGCAGATGAGGAGACGGAGGCGGATTCACGCAGGAGGCGGCGGCCACCCCCACATTGGGGTCCGCGGACGCCGATCCCCCCGGGCAGGAAGGGGCGAGGCGCTCCGAACCCCCCCTGTCCGCACCGCCCTGGTGCTCGGCGGGGCCGAGGGGCCGGTGGTGCCGGTGATCCCCCGTCCGCGGCGGCTCCAGGGGGTGAGCGCTGAGGAGCTGGAGCTGCTGCTGTTGCCTGTGCTCCTGCTGCTGGTACTTGTCAGTGGGGTGGCTGAACTGCTGCTGCTGCTGAGGGGGGTGGTGATGATAGTCTGGGGGGTGGTGGTTATTCAGGGGGTGGCTGCTGCCGAGCTGGGCTGGGCTGCTGAGCTGCTGCTGCTGCTTAAACTCTTTCCTCTTCTGGCTCAGCTGAGGAGGCGGCGGCTGTGGCTGCTGCGCTTGCTGCTTGTTTAAATCCTGGTGGGGGCTGAGACAGGGTTTAAAGTCAGAGGAGGGGTGGCCGAAAGGGGGGTGTCCCGACGCGGGGCTGCTGCTCAGCCTCTCGCTGCCTGGCTGCTGCTGCTGTGTCACCCCTAGGAGCAGCTCATCCTGCATGTTTTGATGATGCGCAGCAGCGGCCGCTGAGGGAAAACAGAGAGGGCAGGGGCGACCCGGCGGACACGCTGCCAGGGGAACCGGCTACAGCGGGCGGCGAGGGGCAGGACGAGAAGGAGGAACGAGGCGGCTGCGGCCGCTCCGGGGAGGGCAGGACAGGGGGCAGGGGCTGGGGGCGGCCGCCTGCAGGAGCTCCCCTGACACCGGCTCGGCGCAGGGGTGAGCCCCCACACCGGCACACCAAAGAGACAAAGATAATTAATAATCTTTGTGGAGAAATGGGACGGGGGGGGTGGGGTGTTTAAATACCCGCCTATCGCAAGCCACTATGTAAGTCCAAAAATAGCTAATTTATGGAATAAAGCCCTCTTCTTTGCCATCAGCGCCACTGTACTGCTTTAAAAATACCGCAGCTTTTCGATAACGAGCCCATTTTTATCAGATATTTTCTTTTTCGTTTTCATTTATCGGGACCCCCGGTAGGGCGGCCCTTCCCGCTTACAGTCGCACCCACAGGGAATCCGCTTAGGTCAGGAATCCGCCCGGACAGGTCACTGTCCCCGGACACCAACTCCTCCGTCCGATCCCCCAGCCGCCACACCGCGACGCAGGGGGAGAGCGGGGCGTTCCCGGGCCTGGCACTGGCGGGGAGGGAGGGAGGGAAGGCGGGGAGGCCGCCGGTACCTCCGCAGGGCAGGCGACCCGTTCTCCTCAGCGAGGCTGCTGCCCCCAGCCCGGCCACGGCCACCGCCCCCGCCCCGCTGCCGGCCGGGGGCCGCCGCGGCGCCCTTAAGAGCGCCGGAACACTCGTCACAGTGACGTCACAGGCCCGGCCCCTGTCCGCCCGACCTTGGTAATGAGCCCTGTGGCCCCACCTCCTCATGAATAATGCATCAGCTTCGGAACTCGCCCCTCCCCTCGTTCACCCCCGGCGACGACGAGGCGTGTGGGCGCTACCACTGCAAGCGAAAGGGAGGTGGCAGCTCTGCGAACCTTATGGGCGAGCAAGGCAATCACTGGGCTTCGGTGACCTTTGTATCGTTAAGCGAGACGCACCTGAAACAAAACGATTTTATTTCGTTTTGCGCCGGCGGGTGCCTCTGGCTTTCATCCCTACAGATAGTGGGGGGGGGAAGCCGGGACGCTGGTTTCTCCCGCCGCCTGCGATCCCATCAGGCGCTCGTTCGGGCCGGGGGGGAGCGCCCGCCCCTTCACCTCGCGCACCGCTTATTTGCATTGACGCACGGCCGCGCGCCACGGGCGGGCAGGCGGGCGGGGCGGGGCGGGGCGGGGCGAGTGGAGCGCGAGCGCGGCGGCACGAGACGGGCCGGGTGTCGAGGCCCCGCCCCCCCGGCCCGGCCCCGCCGTGTGCCCGTGTTGCCAATGTTGCCCCGCCGTCGGGCGTGCGGGCGGGTCACTACCCGTGGGGCAGTGAGGGGTGTCAGAGCTCCCGGGCACCTGGGTTGGTCACCCCTTCGTCCCCACCTGCCCAGGGTCTGCCAGCAAGCCTTGTTTCTTGGGCTCGTCAGACACCCACGCGAGCTGGGACACAGCCCGTATTGGGGTGTGGTGGCACAACGTGGTGCCTTCTGAGGTATTCCAGTGTCAAAGGTGGGGGTTTACCCTTTCCATCCATTGGAAGCACAAACGAATAAATAATTTGGCACATGCAAATATATTGTTGATACAGATGAATATACCCCTGAAAAGACTGAAACAAGCAAGCTCCCTTTATGCTCTGGAGAAGCTGTAGCTCAGTAGTGAAAGAATTTGTAAACAGCTGTTGAATGTGTGAGTACACAAGGGAAGTGGCATTATGTGCTTGACCTGTTGTACTTTTCTCTAGGCATCCATCCATGCCCAATGTCAGTGACTGGATGGCTGCGTTCTTGCCTGCCCCATGGACCTTTGCTCTCACTCAATGTAACAGTTCGTATTTGTTAAATCTGTGTGTGTTTGCTATATACATAAAAAATGTAGAGGGGGAAAAGAATCGGTTCGGCATTTGCAGTCATCTGTGATGTGATTGTGAACCTGTGTGGGTATATGTATCGGGGTATCCAAGCCATCTTTCAGAGTTAGGATGAAAATACATTTGCAGCATAGAAAAATAATTGATATATGTTTATCTTTGCTGTATTATGACTTAACACTCCAGAATTATTCATGATGTTGTGTCCTAGTTAGGACAGCTGAGATCAGTTCATCATGGTATGGGTGTAACCCAAAACTGTGTATTCTATAGCCTTCCATGCCATTTCCCAGAAACTGTTGTCATTAGACTATTCGCACCCTCTGCCCATAGAGCCTGACTCCTCAGGCTATAAACTAGGTGTTCAGAGGCCTGTGAGATAGGAGGATGCTCCTGTCCTCACACCCTTTGTGGAACTCCCCGGCCTGAGGGAAGTACTGAACATTCCTGCCTGAACTGGAGGATATGTAATCTTGGAGTCTCGGAACATTTTTTAACCACCACTCGTGGGATCCAGAGGAAGGCTGCAGCTCATCGCTCTCAACCAGACTTAGACCACCACTGGACTGCAATCGCCACTTTTGGCCAGACTGCAACAGCTCTTCCCCCAGCATCTCACTGCAATCACCACTTTTGACCAGACTGCAACAGCTCTCCCACCAGCAGGTTCTTCCCCTCTCCCTTTACTTTGGACTCAAGCGGGGCCCAAGGAACACCACTTTGTTCATGCCCCAGGGTACTGGGTTATACATTTGGGTTTTGTGGGTTAAGACCAATTGTTTGTTTGTATGATTGTACTTACTGTATTATTTTAATAAATTGTTATTCTGACTTATAATCTCTCCTTTGAGTTGAGTTCATTTCCCCTGCTGGTTAACTCTTAAACCAGCACATGTTGGCATCTGTTTCAGGAACTCTGCAGCCGTCTGTTTTACAAGGGTTAAAAAAAATCCAGAGTGCAGACCAAGGCCCTGCAGATGATCACATGCTGATTAAATGTTGCCGGCCAAGTTAATGGTTCCTCTCTGGGTAGTGAGTTGCTTCACAGCACAGTCCTCATAAACATTAGTTTGGTGAGCTGCAGAACTGGTAGCATCTGGCTTCCCTTTGTGTCCATGTCATACACCTGACATTCGGTTGTGTGCAAGCCTGAACAGAAGCTGTCCTCTACTTGGGCCGTTCTCAGGCATCTAGGAAGGGTGGAAGCAATGCTTCTCTGTGTCTCTTCTATAACCAGCTGCCTGTTTCTACAAAGTGCATAGGAAATCATTCATTTGAGGGTTTTTTTGTGAGTAGTCAGCTTTTTCATCCCTCACGTTTAAATCAAGCCCAAATTCTAGCAATTCTTCCTTCAAAACAGCCATCTTGGCATATATAAGTAGTCTTTTTAAATTGACTGAAAGACAGGAGCACTCACATCCTTCATGCCAGCTTATCTCTACCATGGTAGCCACCTACCCCAATCGGTGTGTTTGTTAAAACAATTTTCATGGGGTGAATCTCATCTATTTTTAACCATGTGAAAAGGAAGTGTCCGCTCTGCATTAGCTACCTAATCTTCTTCAAACACAGGACAGGTGCTACCAAAGGATGATTCAGCCTATCCTGATGCAGGTACTTTTAGAGAGAGAAACCTGATCTCTCTCTATCTGCTAATTATGAGGAAAGGTTCTGGCTATATTGGTGCAAAATCCACTAGGTTTTTGGTGCTTCTTGGTCTTGTGGCATACACTTCTTGACTTTGGATACAAGCAAGAATGAGTCAAACTGAGAATCCTTCAGGCTCTTCTGCCTCAGATATGAGACCCCTTGGTGTAGGAGAAGCCAGGCCACAGCTTCTGGCTTCTCCTCCACCAAATGAAGTCTCTTGACTGGCACCTTGGTGCCATCAAGAAGTGCTGAGGCCTGTCCTTGGCAGTTTGCTTTCTCTCTCCACTCCCAAGTTTCTTGATTTTTGACCATTTTGCCTTCACACCCTCTTGCTTTAATGTTTTATTCTCTCCTGTAATCCTTTGATTCCTTCCTGCTTTCATTTATCTTAGCTGCCCCTTTCTAAGGAAAGCTTGAGAGCTTTTTTGGATTAGGCTAGTTGTAAGCTAATAGCATCTAAAACCAGATGCCTAAATGAATATGTAAGAACAAGCTAAGCATGTATAATGCTTCTTTCAGGTACCTCAACCATTTACAACACAAGAACTTCCTCGATATGCCTTTCCAGACCTTAGGGTATCCTCGGATGACTGGACTTCATGTTCCCTAAAAGTCACTGAAGAGAAACTGCTTAAGGAAGATTGTATACTGGCAGAGCCCTACCTCATCTGAATGACTTGAAGAAGCCAGAGAGTTGTGGAGCTGTGATGAGTTCCTAAGCCTAGACAACAAACATGACAAATGCCAAGCCATATGCAATATCACTGTACATAATATGTAAATTGAAAAAAACAGATGTTGCTGTCAGTAAAGTAGAACCAAATATACATAAGTTATGGGTTTTGCAGCCATTAATCAACCTGCTTCTGTGTATACGTTCCAACAAACGTGCCAGACATCAACTTCACCTGGGAGGCCTCCACCTGTGGCAGAGCTGGGGCTGACAGGTTTCCTGGCTTTGTTGGTGCCTGAAAGACAATGATCATCTGATTTGTCTGGTGTTCTGCATCATCCACTGAGTGCTGAATTTTGTGAACATCAGAATATCAGGAGCCTAACATATACAAAAGAAAATAGCTCTGACTACTGCTAGAATCTGCTGTTTCCCTCCTATTAGCTAGTTGGAAAATCACAGTGGCTGTGATTTTGATATGGGCTGCAATTAGATGTACACATGAAAAGTATCTTTACTTTCATTCCAATACTAAAAACAGCTTTTTTGATGATTTTTTTTTCACGTTACAGTTAAAAATAAGTGTGGTTACAGATAGTACTAACTTCAAAAAACCTTTTGTGGAGAGGCTCAGCACAGAGACTCATTGGCTGCTTGTAATGCAACAAATTGCTCTTTCCACAGCCCACAATATTTATAGGCCTTTCACCATTTACAGTGATTTACTACTCTGTTTGACCTTTTCTAAAGCTCTACAGCTACAAAACAAAAAAACCCCAAACCCAACAACAACCACCACCACCACCAAAACCCCAACAAGCAAACAAACAAACAAACAAACAAACCCCCCCAAATAAAAATGAAATCAGCGTTTTAAAAATCAGTTTCTTGTTTTCTCTTTGCTGTTTTACCTCTCCTTCTCCCTTTCCATATCTTCTCCTTTTTCCTGGGCTCTGTCAGCCATCTGTGTTTAGGTAGCTGTGTCTGTCCTGCACTGCTTGCAAGGACTCTGCTAAGAGATCTGCTCAGTCTTCCTTATGATCAGGCTGTTTAGGGAAGTACACAGTCTGCTGTCCTGTGTTTTTTGACATGTATCTACTTTGTTCCTTAGTTTAAACTTTGAAATGGGCTTGCATATGCATTCCAGGAACAGCACATTGTTCTAATTGGTAACTAAAATACATGATTCTCCTACTTTTGCTAGAGCTGCTTCCTCTTAACCTTAAAGTTGATTTTTGTTAATGACTTCTTCCTCCCATGGAAACATGGTAAATAATCTGAGACTACAGGTTATTCATATAGAAACACAGATTATGAGGTTTGACATTTCACAGGAAAAAGAGGTCTGTAGATTTATATCAATGTGCTTCATTCACTGTTTTTTTTTCTTGATTTTTTTAAACTCTGAAAATAATAATCATGCATCCTTAGGAAGGAGGTAGGTAAGTCTTTCTCAGCAGTGAGCAGTCCATTGAATCACAGTAGCTTATCTTTTCTCCTAGTGTTTTTTCTCATTAAAAGAAAAAATATGAATCATCCAAATATAGCAAAACTGGGTAAAAAAAAACTTCTGTTAGATTACTGTGTGTTGAAATGAAATTAAAAGCAGGGGAGAAAATTAACACCAGGGATTGAGATGGTTTGCTTTGTTCTCTTATTCTCACTCCTACATTATGTTTTTGTTTGTTTATTTTTAAGGCTAAAAATCTTAAAATTCACAGGAGATGGGCAGCTTTCTTCCTTAATTCAAAGCCTGGCTTCCATCATGAGAGCTGTGCTGCCTGCTGGACTTGAAGGATATGGGTTCTGGTCACAAGAATGCAAAGCAGTGATTTACTCTGTTTTTTCTCCTTTGTGCCCTGGAGTTTAACCAGCACATTAGACTAATATTTTCTTGCTTGCTAGTGGCAGTTTCTGTTTCTTTTTGTTTTGGGGTTTTTTTGGTAGTGGAAGTCATTAGAGTTTCTCCCAAGAGAATCACTGCCAAAGTAAACAAACATCTTCATGAAAGGAAAATAATGTCTGTGGAGTATTCAGAATTCCATGTTTTACAGACGAGTATTTATGGCAACCAACTAGTGAATTAAAGTGAATGAAATCCTATTTCTAGTTTGCTGCTTCTGCTGTGCTAATTGAATGTGGCAATTTCTGCTAGCTTCTCAGCTATGCAGTGCAAGTGCTGAATGTTAGTTGTAATTTAGGATGAAGGAAAATATGGATGAAACTGAGTTGAGAAAAAGGGTTTTCTTTTATTTTTTATTGTCGGGAATTGAATAGTGCATGTAAACCTCCGAGGAATTGCTGTTGTCTCTAAAATGTTCTGCATGTGGTTGGCAAGAACAACAAGGACAGAAGAAAGTTCAGCTAAAAAATTCATAAAGGCTGTCTGGTGGAATGCATTACAGTCAGCTGTATACCTCTATGCTCTTATCCCTCTGAACTGATAATTTTTAGCTGAGATGAAACGTTCTGAGGAACAGGAGGCTGGCAGATTTGCAGCGTAGATTGTTTGAAGGTTTAAATACTGTGACTATCTCATCTTACTGTAAGTCTGTAGATATAATATAAGCTGGAGTTGCTGAAAAGTGATAGAATGGCTCATGTGTACAACCTAAAAAACTGTGAAGAGCTTATTTTCTGTGTGCCTCAGAATCCTGTACACTTTCCACCTACTAGCAGTAATTCCAGTGGAACAGAGACACTTCAAATTTGCTGAGGATGAGACCATATCTAGTTCTTTGTTTAGGCAGTGGTTTTCACAAAGGGGACCAGTGCTAACTGGGAACTGCTGCCAACACCATCATATGTTTCATGACAAATGCAAAGTCAAAAAGTTGGCACTACAAAATAGAGATACTGTCAATCTCTGTTTGATTCCAAAATGACTTTTAAGGTTTCAAAGCTTGCATTGTTTCTGGTGTACTTGCATATCAGATAGTGTCTTTATCAGGCCTTATAATGTGGCTGGTTAATTTGATTACAGTACTAGAATATAACTAATATTCTAAGGATAGAGGATGCTAAGGTTTTACTGCTGTTTTTCCTATGTTTTGTGAGCAGAAGAGTTTGTACAGCAGTTTGTGCAGCTATAACCAGAACCTGGTATTTTCTCAACTCCTTTTCTGTGCACTGTGCAGGTGCAGCTGCTGCTTTTTACCAAACATGAAGGTGTTGTTCACAGCTCTGGGAGTAAGTTTGGGTTCTTCTTTAAAGAATGCATGAGACATCTCTACTAATTGCATGAATGTTCAGTGTATATTTATGTACCTGAATATTGTGGTGTAGGAGGCACATTGAAATTTTAAGGAATGATCTCAGTGATCATTGGGTAGGTCCCCAGAAACTCGTGTAACTGACTTGTGCTAAGAATAACTGTATGGTGCTTCCAGTGATGGAATAATCTGTTCTGAAGGGTTGCATACTCTAGTCTGACTAGAGTATGTAGGAGACAAGGTAGGAGACCCAGAGAGACTCTGGAAATTTTTGAGCAAGGAGGCTTTGAAGTAGTGTTCATTGAATCCTGTAGGTAGCCCTTATCGCAGATGCAGCAGGAGGAAGCAAATGTGTCTGCCCCTCTGCAGGACTGTACAGAGGAGTATATGTTTGTACCCTAGTAGTCTATTAAAAATAGTGCTTTAAATTGCTACAAGAAGGTTTATTAAAGTATTCTTTTTAAATTTTAAAAGGTGATAGGGGAAGATGTTCCCCTTCTGAGCCATAGCATCTGTGTTATATGAGAAGAAAAGGCAACTTATCTGATTTATATGTGAAAATGTAGTCTCTGGTACTTGACCTTATTTTCTCTTTGACTGTAAGATGGATGCTCACTAATTTTACACCACCACCCACTGTTTCAATAAAATTATTTTAAACAGATTCTGTAAGAAATTTGCTGCTTTAATTAATATGGAATTATCTCAGAAATTAGCAGTACAGACTTCAGATTCAGCATAGAACTAAAATTAATCGGTCTAGAGTTGAAGAAATGCAGATTAAAATTTAAAAATCCATTAACTATATCATTGTGACTAATTATGATGA